AAGCTCTGGGCTTCGTGAACAAATTGGGTCGTCAGCAATGTATTAGCGTTACCCAGTACAGAATTGACCTCCCGGAACAGCTCAGGTGTCAGAGCAGGTCCGACTGTTTCAATTAATGATTGCGTTTCGTTCACAAATCTGGGCGTCAAGAGTCCATTGGCGTTGCTGAGCAAGGTGCCAACCTCCCCTATGAGTTCGGGAGACAGTATAGGAGCCACGGCCTTGATCAATGACTTGGCCTCCCTGACAAACTCGACCGTCAAAAGACCATTGGCGTTGTTGACTAAGGTTCCGACCTCCTTCAGTAGCTCGGGGGTCAACAGGGGCGTAACAGCCTCGATCAGCTGCCGAGTTTCCTTGACAAAGTCGGCCGTCAGCAACTGATTGGCATTGCCAATCAGACCGTTGACCTCTTTGACAAACTCTGCGGTGAGAAGCTCATTGCCATTGTCGAGCAACACGGAGACCTTGTGGAACAGCTGGGGTGTAACCAGGGGGCCAACAGAAGCGATCAATTGCTGAGTCTCGTTAACGAAATTCGGCGTCAGCAGATGGTTCGCATTGTTCAACAGAGTGAGCAGTTCGTTACTCAACTCTGGAGTCAACAAATTGTAGGCAGTGTCGAGCAAGGACTTTGTCTGGTTTGTTGTCTTGTCGTCGAACAGGTATGCGAAGTGGTGAAAGAAGGACTCAATGTCCGTGAGCAGCGAGGGGTCCAAGAGGCCAAAAAGGCCACTCAAAAGGTCAGGTTTCTTTGTTTCAGAGCTTTGAGGAGCTGTGGTTGTCTGAGACCCCGAATTCTGTGATGGACTTGAGCCTGCTCCGTCCTTTGCAGTAGAATCAGAGTTGTGGCCCCCTCCGAGAAGGCCACCAACCAGACCAGATAAGAGGTCTCCGTGAGCACTTTGTGTGGGAGCGGCTTCTGCCGCGGTGGATGGCTGCTGGGACACGCCATTGGCAGCTGCCTGCTGTTGGGCAGCATTCCCATATGACTGCTGGCCGACGGGAATTGCGTTATGTTGATTGGTATTGACACTCGCACTGGGTTGCTGTTCGTTTTTTGCCGTTCCTGTCGTATCTACTGCCGGGATTGCTGCATTCGCTGATGGACTCACTACCCCTTGAGCGTCTGGCTGTGCAGCCACGGCTGTTGAGGTTGGCTGAACCGAGGTTGCCAACGAGGTGCCAGACAGCACGACGGCCGAAAGAAGAGTCGATGAGAAGCGCATAACGAGAGGATGCGTTTATCAACACAAGGTTAGCAACGAAGGAATGGAGGTGCTGGATCTAAATGAATGCAGATTGCCAGTGCTCCTTATATGGTTCGAACTTCTCGCTCAAAATCATCGTCGAATTGGAGCCAGGGTCCTATCAAACCTTCAGTGAGATGAACAGGATGGGATGGTGTGTTTCGTTTGGGCTCCTACATCCCTTCTCGGTAGCATGGCCGTTGCGGTTCGCTTTCCGTCCGTGATCCAAGGGGATAAAGTTCGCTTCCGCAGCACAGCCGTGGTTTGACCAGGAGTGGACTATGCTTCTCGCAGTAAGTGCTCTCAAGGCTATTTAAGGAGTCCTCGCGGAGAAGTAACTCCGTGTCTGGGTGGATTACAACAAGAGATCATTATTTGGTCTTTGGAGGCAGTCTACTTTTTCCGCTTAGGCTCAATGCCCCGGTGATCGACAGGGACGTGTTTAGCATCCGTGGGGACGATAAGATGGCAGGAACAAGGCATTGTCTCTGGTCACTGGGATATGAGCGTTCCCTCAAAGAGAAACATATCCAAATGCACGGGCCATAGCAAGTTCAACTTGGTACCTGGCTGGATGACGATGTCGCTGCGACATTTATGCATCGTCCGAGGCGTTATCTTCTTGAATGATTGAGAAGATAGGCATCTATAAAAACTATTCTCCCTTCCCACCGTTCAACAAGCAAACCTAGACACCTTCTTCTTGGAGTTACTGTAGTCTTTTCCTGAAAGCCGTGGCTATTGCTGCTGTAAACTGTGTCAAAAACCCGCACGAACGATTCATCCATTCAACCCCAATACCGAGCAATTCAACTCCAGCATCAAGCACTGAACTGCCAACAGAACCAACTCGGTGACATGTGATCTCCTAGGCGAGTCGTGGTTGTAGAGCGGACGGTTCTTATTGCTTCGGAACCAGCAGAAAAGTCTGAAATTGAGGCACCGTTTCACAATGGCATTTAACTTTGATGCTTAAGGGTGTCGCAACGGGACTCGCGCCGTGATTCTTCGCTTCGCGGGAGGGTAAATCTTAGCTCGATTGGAGCAGAGGGAGAAAAGGAATCTTGGAGCAATTATGACCTTTTGTCATAACGCTGAAGAACGAAGACCCTGCTTAAAAAGTGGGCCTTCAATAAGTAAATTGGGCTTCTGGGTCAGGTGGTTGTATTTTCCCGTGGCTGTTCGCTGAAGAGATACAGGAAGCTAAACCCAGGGGTCAAACTGTATCTACAGAATTCGTTCAAAATAACGAACAGCTTATTGCCTGAGCGAACAAGAACCAATGGCCTTTGACGAACCTGCACCGAAGATCATGTACATACCAAGAGCATCCAGAGCTGTTTGTTATTTGGGTAGAGGGGGGGAGAATAATTTGCCTCAAAAATCAGACCCAGAAATATGGTTTGGATCGAACCAAGCGGGCCCCGAATATCTCCAAGAGCCTAACAAGCTGATACAAACCCCAACATTGAGCCCGCAGCGCACAGGCCTGAAGCATCGCTCTTTCTTTTCCGTGTTCAGAGCTTGTTTTGTTTGTCTTGTTGGACTTGCTGTCCCTTTTTTCTTTGCACATATAAGTACCCATCCTCAAGCTGTGGCCCATATCTAGCCACTACTCGCTATGTTCCTTAACCTGCTATAGTCATCAATCCCTATGCACAACGACAGCATATTATGCTTATGCTGGTTGTTTACGCCGGTTGGCACCCCGTTGAGTATCCCACCTTGTTTAGATTCATTATCAACTCTTGCTCAAACCGATCCCGGCCGCCGTGGCCTGACGCGGATCATTCTCATATCCCCTTCGCTGAAGGGATTGATCCGGCTGGAAGTCGCGAGGCTGTTGTCTTCCCTGATCCACCATGCCTTTTTAGACCATCATCGCTAGTCGTGATCGGATCGTCTTATCTGGATGGGTGGTGCTCGGGAGGAATCGATCACGGTCGTTCCTGTTTGGGTGGTGGGTTTGAATTCGCAAAGGGGAAGAGATAGTGGAGTTCAGTCGAAAGAACTGGATCGGTGGAGCTGTGTGTATAGTTGGGGTAACTTGTTGTTAACTTGACGATAAATGGTAAGTGGTTAAGCTGATTGGTACCTTAGATTGTAGATGGATAGGTGGATGACGCAGCTAGACAAGACAATAGAGGTGTAGTGAGAGGTTATTGATCCTCCAAGACCATGTGAAGCTAGTATCTCTCTCATACGTCTCCACCAGAAATGGCTGGAGTCTCTCTCTGGTGTGTCGCAAAGTTGCTCAAGTTCTGGACGAACGTTGCTTCTGACTGTTGAGGACCGCTGGATTGGCTAACGCAGAATCGGACCGCCGCGCCGCGGTGCAATTGGTTTCATTCCCTCCTTCCGCATCCACCTGAGATGACATTGACTCTGGCTCAGTCAGATCTGACGGACGGTGAGACATTATCACCATTGACCACGCAAGACACTCCAGTGAAGCTATGACCAGCTACAGCAAGACCCAATCAGGAATCATGCGACTCATCGTCGCAGATCAGTCGAGACCTATTCCCCAGAGTCACCTTGCGGAAGCAAAGACACGAATAATTCTGAGTGTAATTCAAGCCAACTACGGGCTCTTGATGTACAACATCCCAATGAGCTCGAGCGAAGTGTGCCAAAGCCAAAGTATCATGACTACTCGCACATGCCATACTCTTTCTAAACTTTCAGTTTTCACGGCTCGTCGTTCCTTGCAACAATTAGGTGCTGACGCCGGGTTGATTCGCCAAAAAAAAAACGGTCCGATCACAGGCAATACCAGTCCTTCTGTGTCGCACCTTTCAAATTAGATGAAGGGAGCTTGGCCATCGTGGTTGTTGTTTGTCGAATTCGAACTAGTCGTCATGAATGGAAAAAATACCATTTGCTCACCCTGACAAGACAAAATCGCAGCACGACCCCCCATCCTATTTGTCTCGGCTCGAAGTCTGAGCAGATCCTGTCTCAGTGAAAAATATGCAGCGAACCATGTTGGGTAGTGGTGCCAGAGATCCGAGAGTACGAGGACGGGTTCTGGCCAGCATCGAGGTCTGAAAGTGTCACCAGCTTTTGATGTCGTATCCAAGCCCAGACTGGAATCCCACTGATCTCATCCCAACAGGACTGAATCCAGGCCAGTCGATCTACGCTCTCAAAAGGGCTAGCCGAACACATGACCAAAATCATATGCATTGTCAGCAGCGCCCAGTGGGTCTCGCACACCCTCTTGTTCAGATGAGGGAGGGGAAAGACCTCAGGCTCCCGGCAACCTGCATATTCACCTCCGTGCGGTTTACGGAGTACGGAGTACTAATTCCGTCTTCCCCTCATGGTCATCGATTGAAACACGGAGCAGGGGTGAGCCTCGGTGAGGCAGCCTGTATTGGACGGTTGCAGGGCTGGTCAGGGACTAAAGTCTGACTGGGTTTAGGCAAGGCGAGGCGTCGGCGCTTATGTACGGGGTTGCATCTCAAGTGCCATGCTATTGGGCTATCTCAGACTCTTCCCGTTTTGCTTGTCTGTCTCTCACAGAGAGTCGAACTTACATACTCATACTACTCAGGATGCGCTAGGACAGGATGACCGCAATGACCTCTGGTCTGCTTTGGTTGGTTCTTCGTTGCTCGGGCTCCGCATGTTGTGTTTCAAGAGCTCATGCGCAACGCCGGAGCACTCGCAGGGAACTTTTTGGCTGATCAGCGCCGGTTGCTGCACCTAAGCTGGTATTGGAAGGGATCTCTTTAAGCGCTAGATTGTAGTCACCTGGAAGTCAAGATTTTTGCAGTTGCCCGCATCTACTTATTTTCTCTCTCTTTTGCTTTCTACATACGGGTTTAGGGTTGAGAGTTTCCAAGGTTGCCTGTGGTTCTGGTGAATGGAAGGTTTTTACCCGCTCATTGTGACAGCAATAACTAGCTGCCTGCAGTCCGACCGAGTTCGTTCTGTTCATCCACGCCAGTCATTCGTGATCCTTTGCTTGCTGCTTGCTGCTTGCTGCTTGCTGCTTGCTGTTTGCTGTCAGCCCAAATTCTCCGGCCAAGGATGATGTCACCGGCGCCTGCAGAAACCTCGCCACACAATGGTGGCTTAGTGAGGCGCAGCACTCGGCCATCGCCGACGCCGATGGAGGGAAGGACAACCTCCTCCCTTCCCATAGGTAGCTTTATTCTCCGCTGTCCTCGTCTCCCTCTCACCTCGGGACACAGTACATGCGTTACGCTTTGCTTTTCTTTTTTTATCTCGAAGGTACCAATCCACAATCTTGCCCCAGTGGAGCGTCCCATGTCTTGCCAGCTTGTCTCTCGATTCTTCAGCTCGACTCTGTATAAGACAGCAGGGTCCACGATATGTCATTGTGCAGCGCTGTAAACGGTCATTCGGGCGCTCGACATCCAGTCTGATGGGTCTTTGGGCCTCTAGCGCGAAGCTGACGACGCGCTGACTGCTTTTGATATGCGGTTCTTGCTCGTCTGTCGTCGGGAGCCGACCCCAGCCGATCAAGCGATGCGCTCTGGCACCAGACCATGAACTGCCGGTCACGTTATACGGTATCATCCATCCTGTTCGTCCAATCCTCGCATCTCCATTTGCGTCTGTCGTTAAACCCACTCTCGAGCGCGTACTGAGATTTCCAGGCGCAATCATTACCGAACTCGGTCACTGCCGCAATGCTTGACAGACAGTCCAATCCGGATTGATGTCGCGCGGGACAGACAAACAAACGAGGAGCCCATCACAAAGATTGCCCGTCCTCTCAGTCAGTCTCGGTATCGCCGGACACCTGGCACTTGCACTCCGTCTGCTATTTCCCTTATGTGCACCGGAGTTCGCCACCCTGTCACAGCATCGGAGCCTATTGCCTGGGAAGGGCAATATCTCCAGCAGACCCTGTGGGTGCCGCCTCGGGAAACCATACGAGGCACAGGAGTATCAGTCAGCCTGTCGCAGCCGCATGTATGCGCATGCAGGCGTGCACACCAAGCAGTCCGGGTTCTGAACGATACGGTCATCCAAGGCATGCGAGTGCATGCATGCAGATCGGGATAGAGGACTTGCCCTTCCGTTCCATCCTCCCTCTATTGCCCACCCCCCTCTCTTCATTACAAGGCCGGTAATGGTCGAGTAACGAGTCTCGTTACAAGTGCATTCCCAGTCCGTCTGCCCTTCCTATTCCAGAAAGTCTGGAGATGACCGGTCGTCGAGGCCAGTCCAATGAGAGTCCGTAGCGGGGATCTCAGCTGCGGCGAGCGAGCCGGCCGCTGAAGCTCGTCAACGAATCCGCGGCCAGAAGAGGCTTTTCTCACCTAACTGCCCAGGGCTTTTTAGCTCGCCCCACGACGCCTCTTCAGATAAATTTCCTGGCCTTCAGTATTCCCTCAGCTGAGCGCATGGGCTCTTCTTGATACTCACTCCGGCGATACGGTTTTGAGAGTAAAATCTAGGGGTAGGTTCAACAACGAGGGTTTGAGTAATATCGCTTGGACAGGAACGACCTTGAGGCTATTCCCATATTCTGGTGGAAAGTCCGTCTTGGTAGATTGTGTATTTGTCAATAAAGCCACAGACAGATGCTGAATGCAAACGCGCAATAATGCGGGTATCGGCGGCTATGAGTAGAAGTGCACTGAAAAGTGTACCGTCCACGAGTCGAATACAGGTTGCTGTATTCTTGTTTTCGCTGCCTTGCAACAACGTTACTCCGAAGTACTCCTGATGTTTTATGCTCATATTCTGTGCGGTTCAGCAAAACTACAGACAATATACTCTTTCTAGAAACCAGCCCAGAAACATCAATACTCGAAACTCCAGGATCCAGCACTAATCACGCAGGTCCATGATGAACAGCATAATGAGCAAACCAGCAGGGGTGTGCAGGTGTTGAACAGCAAATATGCTCATTTCCCCGTTCCACGCCAAACATTTGTATAACTTCCCACACCGAATTCCTGCATGTCAGGAATTTATTCGTCCACCCCTGTTCATCTTGCAGAAAAGGAACCCGCCCCATCGTGAACCATGCCCCGAGTTGCGATACACCGACGATTCCCCAGGAACTTGGATGAGCCACCTCGACCTCTTGTATCAGCTTTCCCATTCTGCGTGTAGGTAGTACTACGATAGGAGTATTATTTCCAGTAAAGGTACGGAGTACCTATTTGCATCGGAACCCGAGTCGGGTACCACTGGACCGTGCGTTTTGTGGACCGGGACCCTCTATCGGATGGAGTTGTTTCCCAGCCTTCTTTCTTTTTCTTTTGCAGATGTTTCTATGTGCGCCTTTGAAGAGCAGGTATGAAAAAAATCGCCCTTCTACTATTGGTCAGTCAAAGACATTTGCTTAAGACTTTGTGCCCGGGTGATTTCAAATTTCAACGACATGAGACGGTGGCTTCTGTGCAAAGGCGTCGGTTTGCCATCATCATAGGTAGGTATACAGAGCAGGCAGTATAGATCCAGTTCTATATGCGTTTGGAAATGATAAGGGTACACGGACGATCGGAATTGGTGAGTCATACGGGAGCGTGGATTTCCAACACCTCCATTTCTTCTTCTTCCTACCCGCATGGGCGTTTGCGTCGTATGAGTAGATGTTTCCCTACTCGCATATATGCGCGGTGATGTACATGCGACGACAGGTCTGGTATGCATGCGCTATACTTGTCCTGTGTATGGACTGTGGGTAGTATGAATGAAAAACTGTTCTCTCGGCCGTGAGTACATAGCTTACATCGATACAGACTTCGATTCATTAATTCTAGTCCGCACGGCATCTGGGACTACGGCATTGTAGACGTGAAGAAGTCCGATCTCAGGGCTGACTTGCCACATGTGAGGTGCTTCGAAAAGGTCCCACCGGTCAAAGGACGCGAAGTGGGTGGCGGTATCGCGTGCCGGAGAGGTCAAGTCTAAAAGAGCGAGGGGCTTTTTGATCCTATGTCTTAGTTGCCCATACTGAGTAAGTTAGACTACGTACTTGATTAGATCTTGGTTTTCACCAATTCTTGAATACTCTCGCATTGAGAAAGTGGGCTTGTCTTGACTCAGTCTATAGAGAAGACTACCTAGTAGGTTCGTGATTTTGGGAAAGGCGGAATAACGTTGAGTACTTTTAACTGTCGCGTGCGTTGATTGGTCATTGTAGCATTAAATGATGCGATGGATAATCTGTGTACAATCATCAGACTTTTGAGGTTTGGTTGCGCAGGTAAATTGGTAGGTAGATGTATCGATAAAACTTAGTTACTGTAACTGTTGACTCGGTTATTGAAACACTAGAAACTTGAACAGTCGGATATGGATCGTATTCGCTCCCACTGTTCAAATGTCGACATATCTAAAAGGAGTGTTATGCATGGGTGTCTTGGTAGTGGGAGAAGATAAATGTACTGCCACTCTCAGCCATCGCAGTTTGCATGGCAAGTGGAGCGCTTGCTCATCGCGGTGGAAGAAGAGGGAAGATGCCGAGCGAGCTGAGAGAGGAGGAGGAGGCGGAGGAGAGGGGCTTAGCTTAGCCCCGGCCAGCCCTGATTGCAACCTGCAAGCCCATCCTGCAACCACGCCTTTTTTCTATCTGTCTACAACATTGTATAAGAATTCTCTCGTTGAGATATAGAGTCAAACAACCACTTTATTTGGGGGGGGAGAAAAGAAAGAAGGAAAAGTACTTCAGAGCACAGCTCTTGTTGGGTTACTTGTCATTCCGGTGTCACCATCACTGACAATGCACACACACGCACCCACGCACCCACGCACACACCTGGCAAATGGGCCCTTTCCGGGTCAGACAGGAATTGAGAATGAATGGAACGCTTGTTGGGGTTGATCCATGGTTCAGCTTCTGTCTCTTGTCCGTCCGCCCGGCCGTCCGGCCGTCCTGGGCAGAAACTCAAGTTCGGAATGGGTGTCTGTCTTGTCTGTCTGTCTGCCCTTTTGTGTGACCTGCCTAGCTAGGGCAGTTGACCGGCATCTTATCCCACTGTGGCATTGTGTTGATGCATGTTGATCCATTCGAAAGGAGACCTTGAAGATTTTTCCAAGGAAAACATCACCATTATTCCCCTTTCACCATAATAAACCTCAGGATGAACAGGGCCCCAACTACCTTCTCAGGGAGTTTAGGGAGTGCGACAGAAAAGAGGATATAGAAAAGGTTAAATCATCTTCTGTCGCATCCCGACCGGAGAGCACTTCCATATCAGCAGGCGTCGCTCCCCAGCGATGTCCGGTAGGCAAGAAACAGCTTAGATACACTACAGGGGCGCCTTTTGGTCCAAACTTTCTTTGTTCGCGGACATCCGCGACCCTGAAAAGGTAAAAGGTATTATGGGTCGGTATGAGTATGTGGAAATTGGATCTTGAGTCAGTATTCCACAGGTTAGTCCAAAGTATAAGTGAACTCACATCTGCCGTAGTAGTGTACTTACTAACTAGCAATGATCTTTACTTGAATATGGAGCACTATGTGCCCTGCACTCTGTAGTAATGTAGCAACTTAGTGGTGGATATACGGATGGAGAAATCACTCAGCGAGCCGAAATAGTAATAATTCAGTAATCATGGGGGATCACCTGGTCTAAACTAGCCCCGTGCTCTTCTTGCTCTTTCTTGACTTTGCCTTCCAGGGTCGTGGATTGACCAACTACTAACCTACTTGACTGACTCTGCCTTTTCTGGCTTTTCGTCCCCTTCTGTTTTCCTGTCTTTTCCTGGCTGATGCTCCACTGCCGATGACGATTCTGGACACTTGCATATCTGGCTAAGATTTGTTGCTGAAGGCCACGGAGGAGCAAGAGCAAGAAAAAGTGATCGAGGGCGCACCGGGAAAAGCGGGCGATGGCTCCAACCATCAAAAATGATAGAAATAATCCTTTAAAAAATAATTAATTTTTGTCCAGGTCAAAGAAAAAAAGCAGGTGCGAAATTCGCAAAAGAAAAATCACTCGTACCATACGATCGGGATTTCGCGTCGACTGCATGGGAAAAGTCGCCGGCCGGACTGCGCCATTGCAGACAGAGCGAATCTGCGAGTTGCCCCCCCCCCTCTCCTCTCCTCCACAGTAACTAAAGTTATGTACGGGCTACTATCGCTTGTGCGTATCACCCGGTAACTTAACTACTATCAAGGTTGGTCGGCGAAAGCTGAAGGCATTCGAGACAGTATGCGTATGCAAAAGTCAGCTTGAACTTGTCTCGTTTGGCTTGTTTAACGTTCCCAAGTCAAAGAACCTTTTTTTTCCTTTACGAATCCAGCCGCTACTCTTTAAAATTTGGGTGGTTGTGGACATTGCTGTTTCGGAGCGGACTCTTTTCTTGTGGGTGGCTTGTTGGACGGCTGTATAGAATCCCGTGCATTGATACATATACCCATACTAAAGCCCCATTCCCGGTGGACCTTACTGTATCTGTACTGTCAAGTCAGCTCAACTCTCTCTCTCCATTGTTGTTGCTGCTGCTGCTGCTGCTGCTGCTATTGCTGCATACACTGACTGAACTGCAGGCAGCCTCCATCTGTCTGTTTTGCCCCCTCCTCTTTCTCCTCCTCCATTTGCATTATTCCCTCTTTTCCTCCTCTTCTCCTCCTTCCTCCTCCTCTTCTTCTCCTCTTCCTCCCTCTTTTCACAGGCCTGCAATCCTTTTTCAGTCCTTGCCATTCCTTTGTTTTCTTTTCGCGCGTTCGCCCACACAGTCAGTAGTTTTGCCTTATACATCCCCACGATTGCCTATTATTATTATCGCTACCACTGCTACCACCACCACTACCTAGTTACTCCTACTCCTACTACTACTACTACTACTATACCCGCTGCTACACTCCACTTGCCTTTGGTTGATGGTGGGGATTTTTAATCTATACCCTAACTGCTCAACTCACCTTCTGATCCCACCGTCTCCATCGTCTACCAGATAGGCAGCGGTTTTTACCCCGCCACACCTACTTTGAATTATTTTACTTTTTTCCCTTTCATTATTTACATACCCCTCCGTCGTGCCTGTTATCGGGACCGGGTCAGTCCTCGTGACTTCGAGCTCTGCCTCTTTTTTTTTTTCTGTCTGCCCTCAACAGACGGATTGGATTGTTATCAGGAAAACTCACTCGGTGTGGGCGAATGTCGCCTCTATGGTCTTTTTCGATCCTATCTTCTCTCTCTCTTTACTGATTCGCCCTTCTCTTCTTCGTTCTTTGCTTTTTGTCAAATACAGTACCATCTTTCGTCGCTCTCGCGCAGTCTGAGAAATGCCCACCGTCTTACTGCCCTCGTCGGCAGCCGCATTTGCCCCGCGGTCATCGCCAAACGTGGTGCTCAACACCCGCATCGAACCGTGGCTCACGGCCACTTTGAAACGGGTCAACCGAGTCAAACGCCCGCTGAACAATGTCACACAGCATACTAGATGTCTGACCGAGACGCTGTCCTCGCCCAACGCTATCTGGACGCTGTGTTCGATGATGTTCTCCAAGGCTCCCGAGGCCGAACTTCGCAAGGATGACAACCCTCTGGTGGAGGGCCTCTTCAACTATCAAATGATCCACATCGATGCCTACGTCGTCCATGTGGATATGGTGTCGCAGAACGAAGTTGCCTTCAAGCTAACCCCGGAAACCATCGAGGCGCTCGTTGATTATCACAAGGATGTCTACTCCGTCGATGCCGCGGCGAAAACCTGGGACTGGTCCGACAAGGAAACCCAACTGAAGAAGCTACAGGAGGAGTTTGTTCAAGCCGCCAACAAGTTTGTCTATCGCACAAGCGTCCTTGCCCTCGAAGGGCTCGAGGAGGATGGGGCGGGTGAACTTCTGGCCGGCCGCAGTGAGGAAGCCAAAGTGGCCATCTCCAACTTGTTCGTCCCCCTGCAGCCACCGCCCCCGCGGGTTGTCGACGTGCTCCGCTCGGTGCCTTACCTGCCCAGCTCAACGGGTCCCGGACCCTGGTGGCAGGATTCGATGCATCAGCCCCTTCCGATGGACTCCTGGAAGATCCTGCCGTCCAGTCCAGCCACGACCACGACCGGAGATGTGAATCCGGGTCTTTGGGCTCACATGAGCGGCTTGGAGGATGCGCAGCTGACCTCTCCACCGGCGTCGACCTTCAGTCCACCGTATACGACGGCGCCGCCGTACAGCGCGGCGCAGTACTACGGTGTGGCGGCGACCTCGGCGGCTCTTGCAGCTCTCCCGCTGCCGAGCATGCTCTGCAGCACGGCAGCAAACATGACAGGGTTTGGATGGGGGGATCGATACCAGGATTTCTCATCACTTTCGCTTCCCTACGGGACAATAATGTAAACGCGTCCATGGAACCAGACACTTGATGTTAACGGTCTCCCTGACTTGGCGTGTCTTTTGGAAACAGATCCCAGGGTTCGAACCGACATCACGAATATTACAGCTCGCCTATGCCGCCCGGTCCGATCCCTCCTGCACCCGCTCTTGACCGACCGGGGCCAAATCCTCCCCACGACAGACATCCGACTAATTGGCATCAATGACGGCGTTCTCCTTGATTGACTTTGCGACATACATGATACTCCATATCGTCTATATTTTGCATGACTGCTGAGATCACCTCTCTTCGTTCACGGTTTTGTGTTTTCTTTTTTTATTGATTCAAACAGCGCTAGCGTGATTACTTTTGCTCTACAGCATCAAGAAGCGGCGGGTCGGCTACAATTGTGATTGCTTTTCACTATACGTCATGAAGACCTGGTTAGCCTCGCGGCACGGGATATGATTTGGATGAGGAAATGTTCACCATCGTTTTCGCTTCGTTGCCGCTGTTGGTCCGGGCGGTTGAGACAGACAATGCTGTGCATTGCCTCTGTACTAGGCGCCCAGGCAGCATCTCTGCGGTCAGTTAGTCTGGGGATACAGGTATCCAACGGGACTAGCTAGCTGAGATGCGCAGTGGCACTGCTGATCAGCAGAAGGCATCTGTGATGCATCTATGACGGCAGACTTTTATGACCAAGACGAGGCTCTGAGTTTGTGCCGAATCGCATCAGTGCTGTTATTGATCTCGTTCGATTAGGTTTGGTTGGGTGTCTGCCTGTGGCAGCCACATACACCAGTTGAGCCAACACACTTTGAGTGGGGGTCTGTGACCTCTCTGCGTTGCCCCTGATCTGCGAGTGATGCAATGGCCTTGAAGGCGATTTTGCCCTTACTCCGGCCCTCGTGTTGTTCTGGTAGGTTCATCTCCTATCATCCAGGCTGGGTTTTATCTCTTTTGTTTGTTTTCGGGATTACCTGGATGCGCCTGTCCACTTGACCAACCCTCCCTGGAGGAGGCGTGGGAAGAGCGGGCGGGAATCGGATGCTGGCAGGGCTGCGCCTACGTCTTGCGTTGTTTCTCACTTCTCATTCTTGTTATTTCTGCTGTTCCGTATGTGATTGGCAAGATGTACTTAAGTCTGATATAATCTAAAAAATGAAGTCGAAAGACATGCAGTGCGTAATCTTCTCGCCGTGCGGGATCTCCGCGGGCGCTAAACAAAGAGTCCGGGCCTCGGGATGACGTCAGGGTCACGGCCAGCCCAGCAGGGCGGACAACCACTAGTTGACTTACCCACTACCGTCAACCACCTTCATCATCGCTGGCTCGTCATCATCATTTTCTTATCATCATCAAATAATCAGTCCCCTACGAACGGCAGTTTGCGCATGAAGTAATTTCCCCGCAATTCTCCCTTCGTGCTTCCCTTCACCCCCCTGGCTAGAACTCCTCTCCTCATTGCAATCTATACTATCATCCACCTCCAGTTGCTTAACAATCATCGTTGTCCGCGCTGTTACAAGACTTACATCCAAGAGATTTCATCCTCACAAATAGATGACATATACACTGTTACTATCATACTCATAAAGCAGGTTCAGAACAAAGGGAGCGAGAGAGAAAGAAAATGGCCGACCTCCAAGAGGCCCTCAACTGCCTCTCGCCGACCACCTGGGACTCGATCCCCAGCAACGACCCGGACGCTCTGCGCGCCTACCTTCACGACCTCTCCACGAAAGCGCGATTGATCATCGAATCCGTGCCCGAGCCACCGATCGATAAAGAAGAAAGCCCATCTTCCGCATCCCACACGAACAACAACACCACCCACTTACCCCCCGCCGCAGCCATCCTCCACCCCTCCAACGCCCGCGCCTCCCAACTCCTCACCTCCCCTACCTCTACTACTACTATCACGACAACTTCCCCAACATCATCATCAGCAGCAGCAGCAGAACCCCAACAACAACAACCACTACTACCACCCCCGCCCCCCTCGATCCCGAACAACCCCCACCACAAGGAATGGAGCAAGCCGATCAAGATCTCCTCCGCCAAGGAGAACCCCCTCCACATCCCGGTCTACAAGCTCCCCGGCTCGGACGGCAAGGGCCACTGGTTCGGCCGCCGCAGCGTGTTCGCTGGACTGCCGTTCACGAAGTGGCACGCGAAACTGTCCGGGGAGATGGGCCATACGCTCCGCATGAACCAGCAGCAGATCCAGAAGGGGCGGCCGCCGGACCAGGCGGTGCGCGGTATCGGGGCCGAGCGGTTGGTCGAGGATATCGAGGTGAAGAGTGAGGATGGCGCAAGGGTCATTGGTCGGGTCCAGGTGTATCATGTCTCCGCTATGTTTCCGAAGCCGACGGCGGCCAGGGATTTTGTGAGTTTGATTGTTAGTTGGGAGGTTGTGACGGAGGGGTTTGAGGGGGCGGGTTCGATGGAGGGAGAGGGGGCAGGGACTAAGGGGAAAGGGAAAGAGGCGAGGAGGTGGATGATGGTTTCAAGGCCGTGCGAACATCCTGATGTGCCGCCGACGCAGAATTATATCAGGGGGCAGTATGAGAGTGTGGAGTTTATTAGAGAGATTCCGGTGTATGATGAGGAGGACGGAGAGGGTGCCGGTGGTGAGACTGGGAAGGAAGTGGATGGGCAAGAGGTGCAGGAAGTGCAAAGGAAACTGAATCCTGTCGAATGGGTGATGGTCACGAGAAGTGATCCCGGAGGCAATATCCCTCGATGGATGGTGGAAAAGGGCACCCCCAAGAGTATCTGTCAGGATGCCATCAAGTTCTTGAACTGGGCATGTCGGGATGAAGGCCATAAGAAGCATGCGCATCGCAAGTCGGGGACTGCAGGTCATCAGCATCAGCATCAGCATCAACATGACCCTGGCGCTGAGGCTTCGGCGGAAGACGACGAGGATAGTGTGTCTGAGGATTCCAGTGAGTCGGACTACTATTCGGACACTGAAGTTGAGCATCACGGCCTCATTGCCAGTTTCGCATACCTGGTCAATGCGGGTCTGGAGCGGTATGCTCCGCAGGCCGTTCTCGACTATCTCCCCCACGGTCATTCGCGACAGTCGTCGACAGTCAGCACTGCCCAGGAAAATAGCTATCCGACAGACGACAAGGAAGATCCGCAGACCGAGCCAACACCCCCCACAACAACCACTACTACCGCCAAGCCCACCGAGCCGGAGTTCAACGATGCAGCCTCGCAAGGGAAAGCCTCCGTCGCCTTCTCCGCCAACTCGGCATTCGACTCCGCCGTCGAAGCCCCTCCCAATGTCTCCGCCATCGAACAGATGACACTCAACAAGAAGGGGAAACTCTCATCCCACGAGAAGCAACTGGCCAAGCTGGCGGAGCGCAAACGCAACGTCGAGGCGCAGCTGGACCGCGTTCGCTCGGAGATCCAGGCCCTGCATGTCGAAACCACACCCACTTCGCCCCCACAAACCGCAACAGCTGAGGGCGGGGGCGGTAGCAGCAGCAACAACAACAAACGAGACAAGGCATCAGCAGCGGCGCTGGCCGCGGCTGGTGACGTAGGCAGCGAGCAACTCAGCAGCAGTCCGGGCAGCAGCGTGCACCGGGGGGTGGCGTCCAGCGGTGGCAACAATCACCACCACAACCGTCATGAGGCCGCGCGTGCGCACAAGGTGGCGTCCGGCTTGTTCAATGAGGAGTCGAAGCTGCTGAAGCAGCTGGGCAAGATCGAAAAGGACCAGGTGAAGGAGGCGTCGAAGATCGAGGCGCGGCAACAAAAGCACGCCGAAAAGCAGGAGAAGTCGCGGGCCCGGGGCGAGGCGGATGCGCTCCGGCGAGAGGTCGAGCTGCTGAAGAAGGAGGTCGATCGGCTGCGGTCGGAGCGCAAGCAGTGGTTGGATCTGATCGGGTCGCTGCAGGCGGAGAATACGAGGTTGGCGGCGCAGCAGGATCCAGGGGCTGCCAATGCCGCTGCTGCTGCTGGTGCTTCGACGACCAAGTTGAATGAGGAGAAGAAGTAGTTGCCGTGGTAGATGATTCGTAGAGAGGTGAAGAAGATCGAGTGGTTGGTTAAATGGGTTGAGTAGGTCTTGTACAGTACACTATGTTGGGTTTTGATTGGTGAGATACATTGCGGAGTACAGTGCAAGCACATGCAGTGGGATCTGTTTGAGTGTGATATGATAACTATTATAAGCTTTATTGAGTAATGAGAAAATCTCGCTGCACTGAAACTCAACACGAGCAGAAAAGGCATAACCCCCTAAAACGCCGTATCCATAAACTCCTTGCCTCTCATCGTCATCGATGACTGGGTGTCCTTTCTTGTCTTGTCCTGTCTTGCCCCCAAGACATCCAGCCAGATATCTCTGGATAATCAGACCACGGATCCTAGGGCACGTCATCCAGTATCGTCCCTCCTAATCCTCTCCCAGACATTGAACCGGTCAACCAACCCCCGATAAGCACCCCCTTCCAAGATCCAAACCGGAACACTCAACCCAATCCCATCCTCATCATTCCTGTGTCTAGACCCGGTAAATCAGCACACCACATCCATTTCAACTCCCAAAAAAAAAAGAGTGTGGAACTAAACTCACCTCCGGCGGATTCCCCGCCCCGCGCACCATCTTCTCGATCATCGTCGCCCGCACCTTCTCCTTGGACTCGCCCATCCCCACAGCCATGTACGATAGCATCGGAGGGTGGCCGATGTACGAGGCGTAGCTGTCGCGCACGATGTTGGAGAGCCACTCGTACTTGGTCGTGTCGGCGTGGCCCGTGCCGATGTAGCGGGCCTGCATCGCCTCGAGATTCTGGAGAGTGCGGAGTTTGTCGGCCATTTTGGCTTCGGTTTCTGGATGATTTGGTTTGGTTTGGGGTGATTTGAAGGGGTATTGATTTATTGATGGGGGGTAAGTGGTGCGTTTGGTTTGTGCTTGGTTTCTAGATTGAAGGTTGACAACTTGGAAGGTTTGATGTTGTCGCCGCGGAGCTTTTGGCAGTTGGGTTGGAAAATGCGGCAGGATGCCACGTGATGTGGGGATGGGGACGGGATTTATCGATAAGTTTAGCGGGAATGACTTTATCGGAAATTCGATCCTCATAGATTTTACTTCTTCTCACTACTGGGCATATAGTCCAGTCGGGTATTTGGGCTTTTGGGGTTTTATTTTTTTTTGGAGATTACGGCTTGATAATTTATATATACATATATGCTATGGGAGAAGAGAATCCGCAAGATGGACTCTCATCGCGAATCGCCCGCCTTGTCCATACGCATTTCGATGCGCTGCCCGCGCGCAGTAAACCGATTGTCCGCGATGATGGCACCAGAGAGTGGATTCCGATGGCGGGGATGGTGATTGTCAGGGGTATGTTTCCAGTTGCTTCTGATGATTGTTTCCTTTGCATATCAACTTGGACATTCAATAGTGCTAACAGCAATATTAGGCGAAAATACGACGGAGGAAGAATTGACTTGTGTGGCGGTTACGTGTGTTTTCCCCTCTCTCTGATCTACTACTACATTTGCAGCAACACCCATACTGATGACAGCAGATCAGGCGCCAAATGTCTCGCAGCCTCCCAGCTTCCAAATTGCAAGGGTCTCGTTCTCCATGACTGGCACGCCGAGGTGCTCGCTCTCCGGGCTTTTAACTACTGGGTTTTGTCGGAGGTGAGGGGGTTTCTGTTGGGTGAGGAACGCGCTGCTGCTGCTGCTGGTGCTGCTGCAGTCACCGAAAGCTCATCGCCATCGCCATCGCGGTTCATCCGTCGTCGACACCTCCAGCAGCAACAGCAACCCGACCAACCCCCCTTCGAACTCCACCCGGACCTCAAAGTCTACATGTGCTGCACCTGCGCGCCCTGCGGCGACGCAAGCATGGAGCTCACCATGGCGGCGCAGGAGGATCCCACGCCATGGGTGGAGGATTCCTCTCCTTCAGAACCAGTATCATTGTCAGGACCACTACCAGCTTCAGAGGAACCCAATTTTATACAAACAACGACAAGGGCACCAGCCGCTGCCCTATCTTCGACACCCAACCCTCCACCTCACACAACTGCTACAAGTACAGCACCACCACCACCACCACCACCAACAGATCCCTCCTCATCAGCATCGACCAAACCCCCAACAACCCTCCTCGACGGCCGCGGCCACTTCTCGAAGCTCGGCATCGTCCGCCGCAAACCAGCCCGCGCCGACGCCGACTCCACCAAAAGCAAATCCTGCTCCGACAAGCTCGCCCTCCGCCAGGTCTCGTCCCTGCTATCCCCGGAGACGGCGCTGTTGGTCCGCGTCACGGCCAGCGCGTATCTGGCTGGGGTGGTGTTGCCCGAGACAGAGATAAGTAAAGTAGGGTGTGAGAGGGCGTTTGGGAGGGAGGGGAGGATGAAGGGGCTGGTCGGGGGGTATCTTGCTCCTTGTTTGGCTTCTTCATCTGAAGGTCGAGAAGTAGAAGAAGAGCAGCGGGAGAAGGAGGACGGGGGGGATGCTTCCGGCTACCGATTCCACCCCTTCGAGATCCTCTCCATCCCCTCTGCACTGGCCAACTCCCTGTGGCAGTACGGCAAGCCCCGGGACTCGCCGCAGACCGCTGCCACGGGTACCACAAAATACAAGCCGGGGACCATCTCGGCCGTGTGGGTGGCCGCGCCCTCCGTTGGGGCCGATCAGCTGGTTGTGCTGGGGCCCGCCAGCGGAGCCAAGCAGCTGCCCAAGCTGGCGGGGAGTCGGACGGGGCTGTATGAGAGCATCATCGGCGGGGTGAAGCAGGGGAGTAAGGCGTCCGCGCCGGTGGTGCGGGGGGCGTCGGCGCTGTCGCGCGCGCGGATGTGGGGAAGCTTCCGGGAGGTTGTTCTGGATGTCCAGAAGAATCAGGGTCGACATGATGGGCGTGTGAGACGCGACGATGGGCTGGCCCAGGTTGACGATGAAGGGTTACGGCGGATTGTTGATGCAGCTACGTATGTCGACTTCAAGAGAGCGATCGCCACTGCCACGAAACCCGGCCAGGCGCGGGCACGGGCTCTGCGAGAAGCGAAGACTGTCCTGGTTCCGTGGGTGCCGAATGCCGGGGATGGAGATTGGGGGTTGGATGAGTTGGTGGACCCGAATCCGAAGAAGCGCAAACGGTGAATTAAATAATATATGAAGTAAGTTTCTATTACAACGTCCATAAAAGTGTACAGGCCATGGAAAAGAGACCCCGAATTCAAAGCAGCAAAAAAAGCTTTTTCATCTTACACTCAACACGCCGAATCACGAATCCCTGAAACCTCTGATCGGATCAATAGATCCCCGGGACGATGCGACTGCGCACCAAAGAAGTGTATCGGTCCCAATCCGCACCGTACTTCTTCTTGCACTTCTCCTCGTCGCGACGCTCGCGGTGGATCAACAGGACGCCAAAGTAGAGCATGAAGAAGTAGGTGAACACCATGCCCCAGCCACGGACTTCGGGGGTCTGCACCACCTGCTTCTGTAGGTCGCCCGTGGCCGGGTTGACGCCCTGGATGACCACATACCCCGCGATACCGGTGGGTAAACAATACGACCACGACATGAGCCAGTCACCGAGGTAGTTGATGTGACGGGCGCAGCCCCACCAACCGGAGGTGAGCAGCTTCGAGCCGCTGGAGGTCTGGATGAACTTGAGGTGCTTGACGCGCGGGTCGTTGGGGTCGGTGCGAAACCGGTTCTTCTGGTTGTTGGCGCCCCGGAAGATCGAGTAGCCCGCCGCGGTGACGGCCAGCACCGCCACGATACCCTTGAGTCCCAGCTCCAGCGGGAAGACCGCCAAATACCGGGTCTGGAAGTTGTAGATGAACGGGACCCAGACCATATCGCCGAACGAGAGCATGAAGCCGAAGCCGTCCATGATGATGTCCATCGTGGTCAAGAGCGCCGGTTCCATGTACAGGCCGTCCAGCACGTAGAATGCCTGGAAGAAGGTGGACAGGATGATCGAGTCGGTGACGTAGCCGTAGGTGCGGTGCTGGCGAGCGATATTGGACAGGTTCAGGATGATCCACCCCAAGAGACCCGGACGCATCTCACACCAGGACTTGATGTCAATGGTACGGGAGGCCTCGCTGACGAAGGGGATAGGCAGCCGCACGCGAGGGTTGAGCTCTCTACCGATGAAAAAGTCATACAAGACATTGCCTGTATGGCCACCAGGGGCTAGTTGACGCAGCTCGGGGTTGGGTTGGCCAGGGGCCGGGACGGTGAAGCTCTTCGCGTAGACGAAGACAGCGATCGCCGTCGAGATCAGTAGGTTCGCGGTGAGGACCTGCACGTAGTTGTCCCAGAGGAAGGTCCAGACGATGAAGTCCGAGCCGTAGATGTAGGTGCACGTGGCAAGGCCGGAGAGGATCAACACCGCCGTCGGGAATGCTGTTCCAGAGTCAGAGCTGCTACACACGCAAATGCAGGGGTAGCTAACCATTGAACTTGTACCGCAGTCGACCTCCACAAGCTAATTCGGTACCTGCAGCCTCCTGGCCCGGGAGAAACACGTAGAGCACCAGACTAAGCAGGTAGTAGCCGAGCACCCACAGGGTCACATCCGTGCTATAGAGGTCCGCCAAGCCCCCCTTGGGCCAGCCCACTTCCTCCTTCAATTGTTCGAGAGTGAGGGTCGACGGGTGGAGTAGAGACGGTGCAGGGCAGCCGGAGACATCGTTACACAAGAACGCAAAGGTGTATACTAGGAGAGGAAGGCCGAACACAATTCCAAAGGCACCGGGCCTGTGCAATGGGTCAGCGTAGTCTTTCAAGGAGAGGAACGATATCACATACGGGCCACAGAACTCATACCCGCGCTTCTCGGGCACGGGTTGAATGGGAATCTTGGATTTCGAGGTCTTTTTTGGAGCCATCTTGAGGCAGGCTGGGGAATTGATGGCCGGGCTCCTCGATCAATGGACGCTAAGCAATTATAAATACTAGCTTTGGCAGCAGGCATCCATTTGAGAGCTTGCTGGTCCGAGCCGGATGGAGCTCAGCCGGGCGGTGAAACAAAGAAAAAGAAGGAAAGCTTATCCCAGAGCTGAGTCAGCCACACCCGGTCGGGACTGACTCCGAGTCTCCGACGGGGCTGGTCTCCGCACCTGCCATGAATGAATGCGACGTTTCATCTCCGCACATTACGACGACCACTACGACGACGACAGCGCCGCGGCTCTTTCCTACGCATCCATCCATCCCATCCTCTCGTGGCCGTGTTTGTCTCTCTTTTACCTTTTCCTCTTTCCATTGGTATCTCCATTATTATCTTCCTCCGACCACGTTAATCTCTCTTTTCCAACAGACAACAGGATTGTCTTTCATTTGTTATCTCCTCTCATCGGACTGAGAGCTGTTATCGCCGAAACTCCCGGCTGCCTCCGTAAGGGACACACTCGCCCACGATGAAGCCCCTATCTTCTTCCCTGCTCAAGCTCCTCTTCTGTGTCGCAGCTCCTCTACTTCCTGTATACGCAGCCTCCGATTCTTCGGGCTCCAAAGACTCCCTCCAACCTTGTGTGGTCCGTTCCCCCACCACGGGCCTATTCTACGATCTCAATGCGATTTCCATATCGCCTCCGCCTGCAGAGGGCGAAAAGCCTCGCAAGAACGCTCGGGAAGGCAGCTGGCATGCCAAGGGCCATGACTACGGTGCCAATTTCACAGTCAACATCTGCGCGCCTGTGCTGGAAGATGTGAAAGACGTAGTGGGAGTCGATAGCGCCCGGTGGAAGAACGTCAGCGCATACTATGAGAAGGAGGGCAAGGTATACTCAATTGGGTAGGTTTTCCCCATGGGATTCTCGGGACTTTAACTGACAGCGTGCAGGCAACAGGCATCAGATCCCTTCTTCCGGGGGCGCAAATTGGTCATGAACTACACGGATGGCTCCCCATGTCCGGGCGACTACCTAGGCAACGGTAGCACCCACACTAAGTCCACCATCATGTCATTCCTTTGCGAACGAGACTCGCCTTCGTCCCAGGCGACAGTCTCGTTTGTCGGCACAATGGACCAATGCACGTACTTCTTTGAAGTGCGCAGCTCAGCCGCTTGCGGAGCTACCGCTCCGATACCTCCAAACCAGGGGCTTTCGCCTGGTGGGGTCTTTGGCATCATGTACGCAGCTATCTTTTTCTTGGAATTCCATGTTGCTAACAGTTCCCAGTGCCTTGATTGCTATCGCAGCCTATCTTGTAGGTGGCTGCGCTTATCAGCGAACTGTCATGCACCAGCGCGGCTGGAGGCAATGCCCGAACTACAGCCTCTGGGCTGGTATAGTCGACTTTGTCAAAGTAAGTATACTAGCCTTGATACCGTTCCGTCGTTCTCGGCTTCTGCACCGAGACCTGTCGTACAAAGAATCTGGGAATACAAGGCTTCCGACCTCGCGACTGGATTGATTTTCGCTCTGGCTGGTCTAGAGCTTGAATCGCGGGATGTTGGGAGCTCTCTCACGACTTCCTTCCCCTGGACTTTATATTATACTGTGCTGGACATGAGTTATTATGCTTGAGCTATGGTGTTGGCTGCCCACCGCGGGCCATCATGGACATGCTGTTCGATATCTAGCCAGTTTCTATACCACGTCACTGAACATCTTTGTACTGAACCGCAGCGACATGTCTCTATCTCTTCTCGTTTCGCTCTTGGTCTGAATATCATATAACGTGGAATCAATGCTGATTCATTTCCTGTTCTCCGAACTATAGGACATGTTCGTCATTCTACTCTCCTCCGTCGGCCGGCTCTTCCGGTTCAACCGCTCCCCGAGCCTGGGGCACACGCACGCTTCCAGCTACGGGCGACGAGGTGATCTAGACGCTGAAAACAGACTAATAGATCAGTTGGATGAAGAATGGGACGACTGATTGATGGCCGGCAAATGCATCGGTTATATGACTTTTGCTTTCCACTGCATCGCATCACATCGCCGTGTGTCAAGGAGATACATGTATTGGCTTCTGTTCGGTTTGATTTAGAGCGCGACACGAAAATTTTGGTACCCTGTGCTGTAACCTGGCGGTTGTACTGATATGATTGTTTTCATGTATTCGATGGTTTATGCGCTCGTCTGGCATGTTCACCGGTAGTGAAGTATACCAGAGTTATGAGATGATTTTATAAGTGTGGTCATTCCAGTACTTCTAGCCTCGGAGCCGCGCACAACTCAACGGCATAATGTATGATGTATATCGCAACTCACGTGAGCAGAATATTCGCTGTTAGACATCATTCCAAGGAGATATTAGTGTCATAAGAAATGCTGTAGAGGTAGAGCCAGTCGTTCAGACTTTTGATCTATTGTTGTTGTAGATAGTCTTCACCGTGACATGTCATCCGTGAATTAGAAGCATGAAAGACATTGTGTGACAACTAGGTACCTAGTTTTGATTTTGCATCAAGTGCTTAAAAGGAAGGCACTTCGTCCAGTTTCTATAAGATTGGCCGCAGCGAACGATGTACGAGTCACCCTCACGAAGCAAAAAGAGAATGAGCTGACCAACTGGCAATCGAACCTGTGCTCTTAGCAGAGAAAAAAAAAGCATCGTAGCTTCCTTCTGCGTTTTGCGGCAGGTCGTGCCAACTGTACCATCTGCAAGTATGCCAAGGGATGTTCCCTTTCACTGGCACTAGACTATATAGCTCAATGTCAGAGTTCCGCAACCTGCGGGCCAAGAAAATATCTAGAGGAATCGATCCATGAGTATCGCTGAGCCTCGAGACTGTCTACGGTATCATACCTCCTCGCTTTCCGTCTCCAGCAGTGCAAAGCTATTCGAGCTATGACGTACCTATACATAGGCACAGTACACACCCACCATCTCACGTGGAACAGCTGTCTTTGAGGCCATATGCTATCCGCAACTATAAGGTGACAAAGTACCCTATAGGAGGCGATGAAGACTCCCACTCCCTGCTCAGGTGGCCACGTAGAAAGAATGCAGAGAGCAGAGCCGGGTTCGATCCGTGATAATCCCCCCGCTTGTGAACTCAAGAAAAAATGTAGCTTCTCTTTGATTGAGCGTGTGTCGCTACCTGGGGCCGTGCCAACTGTACCATCTGGCCCCTTTGAAGAATAATGGACAGTATATTGAATTATAACCTGCAAACTAGCAAGAAAATCATGAGGAAATAGTATGTTGCCTGTCAGAGTCAGTTCAGCAACGAAAGGTGTGCTTCCGGAAAAGAAAGGGTTGGTTGTCCAGTCCGAGTATGCTGAGCTTACTCCATACTTTGCGGGGTATTCTCGTTCGTCCCCCACTCGCTGCTGCTGCTGCTGCAGGGATCAACCGGGGCCCCGAACTATACCGGAAGATTGATTGACTATTATACTAGTCATATTTCACTCGAAGATATTTACTATCTACATATACCTACCTACAGTGTCTGCACATCTTCTAAATCATTGGGGCTGACATCCATTACGCTCGGTCACTGTACATGTACGTGACAGTGATTCATGAATCATCCGGAGCGGCCCGCCCATGAGGCAATGGCTTAAAGGCGTGCAGCGAGGTTGCACGGGACCTTGACTCTGCAACCGTCAAACTCACCAAAAAAAATATAACCAGTCAGGTTGAATGGACGCCTCTCCCGGCTCTTACAACCGGTGTATCCGTATCCCCTTCTCATGCCAACATTTTAGCCAGTCTGCTAAGGAGCTTGGAGCCATTGGGCATTAGTAATCGGCCAACTTGTGAGGGAAGATGAAGGCGGCCAGTCACGCCAAGCAGCCAGTCAGCGACCCTGCCAGTTCGATTTCCCCATACCCACACCCACACCCACACCCACCACCACCACCACCGCCATCTCTCGGTTTCAGCCCGTCGTCCGCAGAACCCCATCACTACAACAGCAACCACCCCCACAACTATCACCCCCAGACCCTGTGGCCCCGTCTTCCTTCACCCACAAGTCCCGACCCGCCAAACGATGATCCGGGTCTGGTCCTTGGGGTATCTGCACCCATCATGATGGCTCCCGAGTCCGACGACTCCCCTTTGGCCTCCACTGGCCTGGCCTTTGGCCCCGACGACATCACTCTCCCCGAAGACCTCGACACCCACAGCCCCGCCAGCTCGCGTGATCCCGGCAGTGTCATTGCACCTGGCGATTCCAATTTCTTGCAGGAATCTGGGAACGATTCGCATCGAGATGATCCCCCCGGGGATTCCGCACTCAACCCGGACGCACAACAGAGTGAAAAACCCGCATGGAGCGAGATGAAGACCAAGGCCGGGAAGGAGCGCAAGCGCTTACCTCTGGCCTGCATCGCCTGCCGACGTAAAAAGATCCGATGCTCCGGCGAGAAGCCCGCCTGCAAGCATTGTTCGCGCTCCCGGATTCCCTGCGTCTACAAGGTTACCACGAGGAAAGCGGCCCCCCGCACCGACTACATGGCGATGCTCGACAAGCGGCTGAAGCGCATGGAGGACCGGGTGATCAAGACCATCCCGAAGGAAGAAACGAGAGACATGGCTGCGATTGGTCGGTCGGTGGTCCGGCCCCCGCAGCCGGGACAGACCTCGAAAGCGCAGAAGAAGCGCACGGCGGAGGAAGCCTTCGCGGCGGAACTGGATGAATGGGGCCGGGGCAGTCGCGAAGGACCGCAGGACACCTTTCCGATGCGCCGGGAGAGTAAGCCCGGCGATGCTTCGGGTCTGATGACGGAGGGGGCCGAGTTCCTGCCCTCGTTGGAGATTCAAGAACATCTGGCGGAGGTATTCTTCGACTGCGTCTATGGCCAATCCTATCTACTGCTTCACAAACCCAGCTTCATGCGAAGGCTCAAGGCGAGGACGGTACCGCCCGTGCTCATCCTAGCGGTCTGTGCCGTGTCGGCGCGGTTTTCGACGCACCCGCAGATCAACTCCGAGCCGCCCTTCTTGCGCGGGGAGAACTGGGCGAACCCCGCCGCCGCGATCGCCTTGAGTCGCCATGACGAACCAAATATTACCATCCTGACGGTATTCTTGTTATTGGGGCTTCACGAATTTGGTACCTGTCATGGCGGCCGGAGTTGGTCGTTTGGCGGGCAAGCACTGCGCATGGCTTACGCTCTACAATTGCACCGGGAGCTCGAATATGACCCTCTACTTGTTCAGAAAAATGGCACTGGCTCCCAGCAGCTCAGCTTCACTGACCGTGAGATCCGAAGACGAACGATGTGGGCTTGCTTTCTAATGGATCGATATAACTCATCTGGGAGCCAGCGTCCGCCCATTGGTAACGAGAAATTCTTGCAGATCCAGCTCCCGATCAAAGAGACGCATTTCCAGATGGAGATCCCAGGACCAACCGAAGATCTAGACGGCGTTGTTTTGAACCCAGTACCCGACGATGTGGGCCAATTATCCAACGCTCGAGACAATATGGGGGTATCGGCTTACATTATCCGTGCTGTTGTCATCTGGGGACGCATAGTCGACTATCTGAACCTAGGAGGTAAACGAAGAGACACACAACCGCTGTGGTCGCCTGAATCTGGCTACATGCGCCTCAAGCGACAGATCGAGGAATTTTCCGCATCACTCCCCAGCCATCTCTCTTTCAATTATGAAAATCTTCAGATCCACGCAGCCGATCGGATTGCGAACCAGTTTCTCTTTCTGCATATCATTATTCACCAAAACATGCTGTTTCTGAACCAGTTCGCCATTCCACTATCCCCAGGCGGGCGACCACCGCGGGACATGCCCAAGGTCTTCCTGAGCAATGCTGGCCGTGCCGCCGTAGAAGCAGCTCATCATATCTCCGTGCTGATTGACCGTGCTTCGGCCTATCCTCTGACAGTTCCGTTTGCCGGATACTGTGCATATTCCGCCAGTACGGTTCATATCTGGGGAATCTTCTCCAAGAACGCACAGCTGGAAGCACGGTCCAAGGAGAACCTACGTCACACATATCGTTACCTCAACAAGATGAAGAAATACTGGGGTATGTTCCATTATATGGTCGAGAGTGCCAAGGATCGGTATCGACAATTTGCAGACGCTGCTATCAAAGGTACTGTGATAACGCAGAACGGTGGGCAGATCACCCCCATGTTCCAGTATGGCGACTGGTTCGATAAGTACCCTCATGGCATGTCGAGATCTCACTGGGAGGAGCCCGACCCGAAGGCGAAGTCAAAGAACGACGAAGGAGTAATGAGCCAAAGACCCGACCTTCAAAGCGTCGAAGAGTTCTTCGCCAGCCTGTCCCCCACTCCACAACCCACTATGCCACGCCGATCCTCGAAGAGAAGCGGCAAAAGCGACAGTGTCGCCGGCTTTGACCAAGCCACACCGCCACAGTCAGTGGGTGAGGTGACTATGGAGGGTGCACCGGGAATGCTAGGCACCACTGGAACAGGCTTCCCTCAACCCGCCATGTTTAACAACCGCAATGGACAACCGCCGTTCGGTCAATCCACGTTCGACTTTCCCATGCCGGCTGCTGATCAGCTCCCACAGCTCGATCGGCAGTTTGTGTATGGCTCGTTCAGCGATTTTGATCCTGCTGCCGCGGCATTTGTGCCTCCTGTACCTGACAAGCCAGCTATGCCCCCGGTGCCACCTGACATGCCTCCTACCCAGGACCCGACTTCTACTATTTTCACTGGGCAGATAGACCCCAACGCGCCATCCGGCGCAGGGGAATACTATCAACCAAGTGCCTGGTTCCTTCCATTCAACCTCGATCCGGTCGGTGCCGGAGCAGGGGTCAATCTCGACCCAGCAGCACAGCCAGGGGGGCCGACCAGCAATCCTGTTGGCGGACCTGATCTCTCTGGCTTCGGGGGTGCAGGTGCTATGCCCATGGGTGCGTACGACATGGGACTGGGGACGAATCGCGGCTCGCATGCCTGATCATCTGGCATGCCGTGTGGCATCTTTCTTTCTTACTCGTGCAGTTGGCCCTTGATATTTTACTTTTCATCTTCGTACATTGGCGACTGATTGTTCCTTTGGTTGAACCGGCGGTTTTGTGTATTCGGGAAGGAAAGAACCGGAGTTAAAGTGCCATGAGTTAAGGATGGCTGGTTGCATGGTGGAGGTGATGCTTTTATGCCCCGTCACTCTGAAATGTATTATGTAGGTGCTATATACCAGGAATATATACTCGCGATCTTATTAGACTGGTCTGCCCTTCCTGAGGATTAGTCCGATAGCATTGAGGGTGGGTCATGATCCTAGGAAAACCGACACTATTGAGATGTTCGGTGTTGTGGGTGACTCGAGAGACCCTATTCATGTCACCGGTGCCGACACTTGGCTGTGAAAAGTGGCATTGAACTTTTTTTTCCCAAAAAAAAAAAAAAAAAAAAAAAAAAAAAAACGAGAGGACAACTTCGATCACTAGAGAGTAACCGTCTTGATTCCACCCGAAATAAAACATCCGGAGATGAAAAAGAAAACGAGATACTCAATGCATCATCCGTGAATCGAACACGGGCCTCATCGATGGCAACGATGAATTCTACCACTAGACCAATGATGCTATTTGATATCTTATGCCTCGATACTAGGTGTTATAGAGGCGTGGCGAAACCGAGTGTGCTGCCTTGGATATCCCGCGTTCTACTATTCGTTTCCGCCCTGTTTCATCAGCTTTTCATTTGTAGCAGGACAGATGGTGAAGATCGGACTTGAGCAATGGAGTGTTCTGATCTTGTTGATCTTATTAGTGTCACGTCACTTATTTTGGTTATTAGGCAAACAAGGAGGCTTCCATGGGTTAAAGTGCGAATCAGTTCTGGGAGACCATGATTGAGAGAGCCCTCTTGGTTGGGTGGCCCGGAACACGCTTTGACAAATGATATCTGCCAGGCACTCTATGAGAGAATCAGGGCCATCAACAGGATACTATCGGATTGCAAGAGAGGGGCAGAAGAGGAAAATATGCGAGAATAGCCTGCAGAGCTACAGCGCAGGTCAGCGAAGCTATTGGTCACAGTAGTTAGGCGCCCGCATGACAACCATACCTTGTCAGTTAAGGTCGTTACTTTTCAATAGTTTGACGCATGATTCAAGAGACCTATATAGTTCGCTCACTCCAGCCTTGAACTCTCTAGTTATCTCAGATCCTCGGCTTCTCAGTCATTACGCGGACTTGGGTATAACGTAAAGCGAGATGACCAAGTGGAACCACCAAAGGCCCCTTAGGCGTCTAAGCCCCCTAAGCTCGGTGAAAGTCGAATTGGTCTCAATCTAACATGGACTCATGAGCCCCAAGACTCTGAAGCCTGCCAGCCTTCTTGTATTCGAGTTTCGCCTTGTACCGGCCGCCCCGGGCATCCGTCGCGCGGCATCTGCCAAGATCTCGATTCGGTTCTCTTCTGGCTCCGGCTCAGCACCACCACGACGGACTGTTCTTATGCTCGTTTGACCGAAGGAGGAACATGCCAGTTCTTCTCATCGACCACTCAGAGTCAAGAAGCGATATGTACGGAAACGCTCCTCCTCAGCCAAGCAACACTCAGTCACTAGATTGACCAGCATATCTTATCCAAACGCCCTTTTACCACACAGGCTTCTGGTCTGTGGTTCTCTACATCGAGCCAAACTCGGCGGGTCGTGGTTCTTTCTGCCGGATAGCAGGCGTTATTCAGGCGGATAAGGCTTTTGACTTCCAACGAGTCCGTACGGCGATCCGAGGAGCCTCCCAGATCTATCCGATGTTGCTGCGGGTCGAGCTCTACAAAGCGCACGTTGAGTTCACTGCACAAACCTTTGAGAAAATGCTCCGGACCCTGCGCGAGGTGGATGCCGGATTACTTAAGGAGCTGAAGGGAACCAGCAAGCCCGATGATGAAAGGCAATCACACCGCCTGCCCAGTAAGACGCTGCATGAATGTAGTATGCAACTCGTCGAATTAGGTCAGAGATGGAGATTCGAGAAAGAGCTCGGGGAACGGTTGAAGAAACACACCAAGTCAAATGAGACAGCCATGAGGGCAATTGCAATCCTTGCTGCACTGTCAGAGAGTCGCGAGTTCGACATGCAGACCCTCCCGTTGAAGGTGGAGAGTCAACGCAACGTGGTGAAGTCGCCCGCTTGATCGCCATAGCCAGAACCACGGCGTTGTTTCCAAATCACTGTATGAGAATCATCTGACTGATGTGCTTTGATCCATCGACAGCTCTACGGTCTGATCGCTCCATTTGACAATAATATGCAGTCCAGGCTAGCGAGGGAAGCTCTCCGAGACTCCAAAGCAATGAAGACGTTGTCAGTCATCACCATCGTCTTTCTCCCAGGGGCATTTGTGGCCACGCTATTCTCAACGAACATGTTCAGTTTCCAGGATAATCGCCAGGAAGTCTGGATTTATTTCGTCATCAGTGTGCCTTTAACCGCAGTCCTATTGGTTGCGTGGATTCTCTGGCTGCGAAACACACCCTACGGTATAGATGCAGAGGAGAGGGGCGCACTTTTGAGTCAGGCCAAGGATGACGAAGTGAAGAGAAGGAAGACAGACTGAGTTATACCTGCTTTGGTGATGCTGTCATCAAGAACACCGGTGATAGAATAGGCATAAGTGAGTTAAAGCTAAGAGAACAGGTTCAGCGGGAATGGATTATCAATATATGCCATTCTGCGGAAGCTGTATAGCTGTTTTGATCTGACCAGGAGAACTCAAAGACTGTCATTTGTAGTCGGCACCAACATGAGAGGCTAGGTGGGTTATGTTGTATTTTCTATGGAGGTCGAAATGGTTGAAGGACTGTTAGAAGTTACTTTGGTTCAAGAGGTTGGCAGATGACTAGTTATGTTAAACTAGATTGACGGCTACGACAGCGGGCAAGCAACTCGCTCACCGCCCATCACCGCGGTTAGCATTTTCAACCCTGCCCACGGGCATACCTGAGGGTAACTAACGTTACCTTAGCTAACTTACTACTGTATACCAAGGTGCCAGACCGGCTTCGCCAAGCCTTGGCCACCACCCGAAACAACATTGGGACTGGAATGGTCCCCGCGTAATCTCGGCCCGCGCCTTCGAGAGAAGAAAGAGGCGAAGAGAGCGAGACGAGGGAACACTGTCAGAGAGTAGTATCGAAAATCTCGAGGGCTGTGCTTGGTACCTTGATGCTGATGGGTCTTTATCTTATCAGGGCACCAGGCACCAGGCACCAACAAGCTCTACGATTAGCTTTGTCACCGTGTCCGCATCGAAGTGGTGGGCTGGTTGTCTTTCGTTCCTACAGGGAAGTCGTCAAACTCGCCGGCGGCCCGGGGACAGACCCCAAAGGTGAAACTGAGATCAACCGGAATGGTGCGATCTTCGCCTGTCATGTCGGGCGCTGCAGTACTACGAGATAAGGAACGGTGGCCCTCGCTTAACCTTCGGATAGGACGCCCAGTAGATGTGGCAGGTGGCAGGTTGCAGGTGCACAGTCCGCCGTGGGTAGGTCCCTTGCATTATTCTTTCCTCTGGAGGAAAGAGGTATACTAATACAGCCCCCTGGCAGTGTCGCTCCTTCCATGGTAAAAATTATTCTTTCGGTCTGCATGAGAGATGGGAGCTAGAACAGTACCATACATGAAGGATACATAGGGTACAGTACGTACATAGGAGAGGTGCTGGGTAAGAGAATCCTCTGAGGGCCTCAAGACCATCATCTAGAAACACCAAGACATCGATAGGGAGTCGTGGAAATCTAGGCCCTTCCAGGTTCCAGGAATTCTCACTTGAAGTGTTCAAATAGGAATCGCTAGGGGATGATGAGAATGATGCCATGCTAGACTTGGTTATATACTTGCCCGCAATCACTTATCCCAACCCTACACAGCCCTAACCTAGAACTGGAGGCTCTGCCATCAAATGCATCTCTTCAACTCTCACATCCAGCTGGGCCAACTGAGCCTACGAAGATTTGGGTCGCCCGACCCGTTGCCGCGGGACCGAGGTCTCCAAAGCTGCCACGACCTCCGCTCCAAGAATATAGATGTTATAGCTGGGGAAGACGATCCATAGACCACTGCAATTGACTGATCAGCCTTCTAGCCCATTCATGAGCTTGGAAAGAGGGGGGGGGGGAGATCAACTTACTTAGGAATAATCCAGAAGAAGACCAACGTCCAGAAATCATTGTGTCCGATGTTGTCAAACCCGGAGAACACCTCGTTCAACCCTTTAAAATTGGAGATCAAAATCAGCAATCGATCACCCTATCAACCTCCCCCCTCCCCCTAGCCCTCGGAGAGGTGAAAAAGAAGCGGGGGAAGGGTGAGCGAGACCTACAGTAGAGAATCGTCTTCCCCAACGTCATCACCGAAGCACTGTACGCGACCAGCAACGCCAGCGCGCCCGTCCGCCCCGCCACCACCTTCGTCTCGCGCAGGAACCACCCCACGCCCTTGTGCGGGTGGCGCTGGCCGCCGCGGCCGTTGGCGGTCAGGCTGGTGCCGTGGCGGTAGACGACGGCCAGGTAGTAGAGGTAGCCGGTGCTCTCGAACAGATTCAGCACGGTCTGCGCGGCGGTGAAGCCGTTGCGGGCGTTGAAGGCCGGCCAGCCGTAGATGTAGTCGATCGTGCCGTACAGCGCGTAGGGGGTCCACAGCGGCGAGTGCAGGCTGTGGCCCGGCATGGAGTGCGGGCGGAGGAGGACGTAGCCCGCGTCCCAGAGAACGAGGGGCACGGAGAACAGGAGCCACAGCGTGATCGGGGTCGAAGGGGTGTGGACCCATTTTTTGGGGGTGTTGTTGTTGTTGTTGTTGCCGTTGGTGTTGGTGTTTGGGGTTGGGGAGGTTGGAGGTGGTGGGAAATCGTCGGGGTGATGGCGGGTTGAGACCATGGTTGGTTGGTTGGTTGGTTGGTTGGTTGGTTGGTTGGTTGGTTGGTGTCGATTCGGATATAATATTGGTGTTGTGGGAGATGAGGAGGAGGAAGTGCTAGGTGGAGGCTAGGATGGTGGTCGTCGTTGTCGTCAATTGATGGAATTGAGGAGGTTGGATGGAGATTGAGAGCTCTTTGAATGAACGATAAGTGATGAATGGGTTGACCCCGAGGGCGGCTAGTGACGTCGTGCAGATTGCATGCAGACCTGCAGCCACTCATAGCTTCGTCGCGGCTTCTATGCCTGTTCCATGGAATCATTCCATTGATGTCTTGCGGCTGGATCTGTCATATTCATATTGGGAGAAGCTATCGACGTCTAGGATCCTGAACACGGTGTGGGCAGCAGACACACCTTTCTTCACAATTGATTCATGGTATCTGGTATACAACGTATGTACTGTACACTGTGCTATATTATTGGCACTACATTGCTTGGATGGGCACACATAATCCCCCAAAATCCAGATCTAAAGGGCTCCCATATCTGATCTGATATCGTACCGAAGTTTCTGAGCTATGACCTCCAGTCGGTGGGTCGGTCATCGAGTGGCTTTGTGTCAATCCCTAATCTCGTTTCAATCTTTCAGACTGACGAGTTCCAGACCTCCCGGTTCCTTCGCCCTAGACGTCCTAATTGGGCAATGGACCCCGAGGCCGCGGGCACGGGGCGACTACGGCATCCAGTTTCTGCCAGTAACGCAGTGAGGGACAATCTTGCATCACAATTGCATATGAACCTAGTCCCTAGCTCCTCGCACGGGTTGTCGAATTATGCTGCTTGGCTCCTAATAATCCTCTGTTGCTCAGACATCAAACCCCGACTCACCGCAGAATGGACTCGCCATCGCCTCCAAAGGTTTCTAGCACTCCGTGCCCGCTCTGTCAAGCTATTTACAATTCTGACCAAACATCACACGCAGGTTGCAGATAGACTTGCACGTATCAGAGAGAACCAACGAAGGAGCCGTGCCAGAAAGCAGGCGCATACTCGCGAGTTAGAGCAGAAACTAATCTCCCTACAGGAGCAAGTCCGTCAGAAGGATGTCGAACACCGACTGACGGTCCAAGGTCTTGACGCAGAGAATCGGAGACTAAGAAGTTTACTGTCGGATGTGGGCATATCATCCAATGCGATCGAGGAGTATCTAGAAAAGACGGTGGATGACCCAAGCTCAACGCAGAAGATTGCCATTCCAAGTCTCCCGCAGTCTGGCGTGAAGGCTCGATCGTGTCGTGGCCGTGCCCAGCAGACTTGTCGTTCTGAGACCACTCCTGATACTGCTGGAGTATCGCCACCCCCAGACTCGAAGCCGGTCGATAAGGTGAGCGATTCTACCGTCGACCTCCCCGGTCAACCGATGAAGAATGATCGAGAGAAATCCCACGACCAGTCAGTTTGTGGCTGCTCACCCGACGAAAGCGGAACGTCATGGCCAGATAGTAACAGTGGAGATGTCCTTAATACCACTCTCTGCGCCATCGCCGACGAACTCATAACACAGTACAACACGCGGGGTGTCGAGCTAGACGAGATCAGACGCAAGCTCTGGGAGGGCTTCTCCAAGGGCCTCACCACGGAGGAGGGGTGCAGGGTGCAGAACCAGATTCTGTTCCAGGTTCTTGACGAGATTAGCAACAACTAAGTTGCCTCTCTAACATCTACAGCCAACCTCAGGGGTTGGCTCCCTAGCTGGCACGGATGGCTCTATGGTCTATTATATCAGAATGAGGAACAGAAACGAGTCTAGGATTTGCGCCTCCCACCTCCGCTTCCTGGCATATCACCGAGTTGCATACACCAATCCCAACAACCCCGGTACCTGAATCAGCGGCCTAACGGTAGCAGCCAGCGCCTGATTATTCTCCATCCCAAATGTGGCAATTGCCACCGCGATCGTCAGCTCGAAGTTATTGTTTGCCGCAGTGAAGCTTTGTGTGCACGACAGCCGGTATGTAAAGCCACATCGTCGTGTCACGGCGAGCGTGACCGCAAATCTCACCGAGAAGTAAACTGCAAGGGGCGTCACCACTCTGGCTACAGAAACGATCTGGCGCACCGCCTGCTTTCCCTGAGCAGCAAACAGCAGCAGAGTCGTAAAGAGCAGCCCGATCAAGGACAACGGGCTGATCCACTTCAGGAACTGCTCATCGTACCATTTACTACTCCAAAAGCGCAGGTAATGCGGCTGACGATCGCTGCTCCCAACGGGATCCCCAAGAATACCCCGATGCTTTTCGCGGCCAGGGAATAGTCAATCGTCAATTCGCGCATGCGATCCGCCAATGATGCGAATTAAGAGAATCGCAACCGGGGCGAAAAGGACCATCTGCAGTATAGAGTTGATCGCCACCAGGATGGCGCAGTATTCGCCATTATTGTTCAAGTCAGAGGATGCGGTACATCATGACCAGGGGTCCGAGTGCTGCGTTGACGTGCTTGCTGTCAGTATTAGATTATGAAATTATCCCTAGACACCCCACGAATGCACCATGGTTTCTGCAAGCCTGCTGGGGCTTCTATTACCCATCGGCACAGCAGCCCCGACGATTGCCCGTCTCCAGGTCTCGAATAGTATTGGGGACGAGATTTCCCAGGTGGATGTCTACTACCATGGCCAGTAAGGTCCATAAGGCAATGAAGCGGTCCAGGATGGAGCTGCTGGAAGAAAGAAGTAGCGAGCTTCTGGGCTCGAGTACATAGGGCTCATCATGGTGTTGCTCGCTCTCACTACATGCTTCCAGGTCTTTTGAGGGCGCCGGTATTGGCTTCCTTTTTTGCGGGGGACAAATCGGCGGTGTATATTCGGCTTCTTTTCTCTGTTCATCTTGTGCTGGTTTGAAGCTCAAATCCCCAGTGAAAGACGGTTGCTTTAGTGTGTTGTTTTCATTCACAGAGCAAACATCCTGGAAGCTCACTCCGCTCTCTTGAGTGCATACCTAAGTAGTATAGCGGCCAGAAGGGCTGTCGCTCAAGCAGTGTGGCTGAGTGACATGCTCTAATGTCATGTGACCCATAGTACCGCAAGGTTTACCTGGTGGAGGATATTCGGATTCAGGAAATTAAGAACCGGCAGAGCATGCCATCAAGAATTGGAATACTAGAGACATCCTGCTCAAAAATCAAATCTTAGAGGAGAATGAATCTTGGGGGAAGGGACACATTCCATTACGCTGACCCACTAAAATATGCACACAGGGTATGTATCAAGACAAATGATACCTTGCCGGTATGCTTTCTCATACAAACCTTCCGCCTTTGCAAGCCTGGGATGCAATTTAAGGTGGACTGTGTAGCGCAGCAGCCGCGGCCAACCTTATCTCAATAAAATGTTTAAGATACAACCTGCAAATCGAGCGACAGGGCTAGATAAATAGCATCTGAACCGCAACCAGAAAGCTCCCGCGCCTGGAAAACGAGGTTGTTGGACTGCGCTAGGAATAGAACAAGGTCAGAAGGGGGGGGAAAGGGGCACATTCCATCAGGTACTGTCTAGGTCTCTTGTCTGCTGTACTCCTCGGAGACCGAGATGCCATCTTCTAGCGCCACGACGCCTTTTTTCTCGGGACTCCGACGAGTCGGGAGGAAAAGACATCGGGGGGAGGATCATGGTGCATGGGACGGCAAGGCTGCGCTGCACTGCATTGCACCAGGCTGGAGGAAGAACTCGGCGAATGAGCCCGAGATGCAAGTCACCTGAGCCCTGAGGGCTGCAGATCCCCGAAGAAGGGGAGGGGAGGGATGCCGATGCTGGGGCTCGGGGAGTCGGTTGGCTGGCTGGGGCTGATTCTCGGGGAGAGGGACGGGTTGCAGTGGACTATACCTGGTGTTGTTTGTGCTTGGATACTTCACATCGGTGTGTTCTACAGGACGGTCTTTGGCCTAGGCTCATGATAAGAAGGCTCGGGATATGACTGCGAGTGCAGGGGCTTCGGTACAGTATGAGGTGGATTTGAACGGTGCTGGATTGGGTTATTAGACATGTTGTGTGTTTGTGGTTAGAGCAAAGTGTTTTGCTGCTTCTTTGCCTCTTCCATGGGTTTGGCTACTTCTGATCTTAGATGCAGATCTTGAGGGTGGGAGATAGGATTGGGTTCTAGGTATGATGGTGGCCGAGTCTTACAAGGTTTCGAGAGTGTCTACGCGAAAAAGAAGAGATGTGCGTGTTGTCGCTTACGATGGGCCAATTTACTATACTCGATATTGCTATCAAAATGGCCCCGGGAGTATACCGCGGAGGTCTATAGTCTCTGGACAACCGACAATGGCAGTAGCTAACCTCTATGCCATTCAAAGCTACCATAGAAACCATGACCATATGAACAGTTCAATGACTCGACTAAGCACAGAAATAATTTGTTCCTAACCACTTGCGCTGCAGCAATGGTCTCTTCATCGCAAGCATGGACCCTCCGGTGCCGGGTCCGCTATCGGCCGGGGTGGTGTCCTGCCCGCGCCGGAATTCGCGTTCCGGGGTATCAGGCGATAGCGGAGAACCCTAGATAGTCCACGAGGGGGGCAGAGTACGGAGTACATACGGAGTACTCAGGTAGTGCCACATTAGATCGCTTTCCTGCCAGAATACGAAGAGAGGCTATGTGGAGAAACGGAGAAATACTCTCCACTTTCCAAGTGCATGTACGGCTTTTGTGTGACTAGAAAGTGCTAGACAATTGTGTCTAGCCCTCGGGTTGTTGGGCAGTCGCTTAGTGTGGGACTGTTTGGTCCCGGAATCGTGGTCTTCGGGATGACGATGATGGAAGAAAAAGGAAAAAAAAAAAAAAACAAACCCCCACGGAGGCTTTCCCCGCAACCCCAGCCCAGCCCAGCCCGCCCCAAATTCCCTGCGCGGACCGAGCACAAAACTGCAGGGTATCCGACAGGGAAATTTCGACGAACTGCGAGAGAAGGTCTACCTCTCAGACTGTCTGGGTAAAATGTCGGGTCTTTATCCTTTTGAATAGGCTAATATGATCGCATTGCCTGCATCGCTGCCCTCTAATCGATTGGGAAGGCAATAGCACATCTCATTGCAAACCTGATGTTGGCTGGGCCTGCTCGGAGTCAATGCGCACCGGGAATAACCTCAGCCCAGATACTCTACATCCTCTCACGAGTGCACCAAGCCGGGTTCGAGAGAATTCCCAAGCTAACCCTGGATCTGGCTAAACCACGGGGAAATGTCGTCAGCCCGCACCGTACGTATAGTCAGTTATTGACTCATGGATGAGAAATCCATGCAGTCTCAATGCCGACTGCCGAGAGCCTTGATTGGGGAAGAATGGGGGACGATCCAAGGCAGAAGACCAGTCAAGGCACAGCGAGGGACAGGAGGTTCCACTTTCCGGGGGGATGAAGAGAATATCCCGAGGGAGACCACGACTTAATCGTGGAGGCCATACACAATCCCGTCGGAGTTCTTGCCGCTCTTTGCTTCGCAACGGGGACCCGAGCAGGTGAGTAGCAGTCCGACTTGGCCTTGACTGGGAGAGAGAGGGATGGAATGAATGTCTTGACTTGCGACGGAAGGAGTGGTGGCTCTATGGGCTGACCCTTGCGGGCGAAGGATGTAAGGCGCCGTCAGGCCATGGCGGGATAAACAAGCGTGACATTTTTTTTTGCACGGTCAGTGTGTTGTTGTTGACCCCTCGGCAGTGTTCTGTTTGTGTTGCTCTGTTGGCAGGTCCAAGGACGGACCACGATGTAATGGGAGGCGACTTGTTAGTTATCGCATTACCGCATTACCGCATCAGGGATTCATTAATCTATTCCCAGATGATTCTTTTTCCAGGTTTCTTTCCCCTCTTCTTTTCCTCGGGCGGCTGACCAACAAGCGGGATGCAGAAGTGGAAATGCGGGGAATGGCTGGGGAGACGGTACCGTAACATTCCACTAGTCGACTAACTTATACTATCTTCAACTATAGTCAGCCATTGCTTGCTGGATCATGACGATGCGGGGAACAGCTGTTGACTTGTTGTCAATTGTCAATTGAAAGCAATACTACCTTCCATCTCATTCTGCTACCAAGCTTCTTGGGCGTCGTCCAAGTCCGCTATTTGACCGAGAGTTGTAACCCCCGTAATAGAGCTGTATCCCGTACCGCAGCCGATTGTGTCCCGAAGCTGATCGGAATGCGCCAGAATTGGCTCGAGTGATAAGTTTTTATTTATATTTTGGTTTCAATCAAGAATGTCAGGCACCTCCCGACTGACTGCATTCTGCTGGCCTGCCGGAAAGATATCATCGCACATAGGGCAGTTTGAGGTTCATGTCAGGGAGGATGAGTTGGGGAAAGGGATCGGAGTGTAAACAGCCCGTATAGCGTAACGGAATTACCCCCCAAGGTTACCAGGGCCGAGTGGATGCCCCACAGCGGTACCAGCGGTAACTTACCAGCCAGTCAGTAAACTTTTAGTTTAGTATACTGTAGTCCCTTGGACTGTAACTGCAGTACTTCCATCCACCTCATTCCGTCATCCCCAGATGGCTGGACTCTGTCGGTGTGGGGTTCGGTCATTCCGCTTGACTTTTCTGCGCTTCGGCTGCGAACCATCGCCAGAATGAGAAATTCCTCGTTGAGTCGGGGTGTTATACGGTGTGCAGGTCATGCTGCCGAGCCGAGTGCATGAACGCAGGAGCAGGAGCAGCAGCAGCAGCAGCAGCTTCCTCCCCAGCTTAGTGAATCACGGCAAATACAATCGCTCGACTTGCCTGAGTTCCGACCGTTCCATGCTCTCTCCCTCGCCGCCTGTCTCTTCCTCGATTTGGCTTCCTCCCTGTCGATCCCCATGCTCAGAGCTAAGCGAATGGAACCACTCGTCACTCGCCCAGTCCATGGCCGACCAGGTGCTTGCTTACTTTGACTTCTTGTTTGCGAGACATCAATTCACTCCTGAGTGGGTAGCTCCGCAAAAAAATAGGCCAAGAGGTTCTGATTGATTTTATTCACCGTCGCTGGTCTCTCTCATAGCTGTGGCGCCCCCCTCTCTTCGTTGCTGGGGTTATTTATATCTCCTCCCTTTCCCCCCCTGATCGGCCTTGTTTGTCCTTCCACCTTTGTACTACTTCGACGTCTTTCTCAAATTCTCGAGAGTGCAAGCTGTGTGGCTGGCTAGCTCGTTGTTTCCTCTTTCTTCAGCTACCTCTACGCCATCATGAAGCTCAGTTGGCTTGAGGCGGCTGCCTTGACGGCTGCCTCTGTCGCCAGCGCTGTATGTTGCTTTTTCTGCGTCCTCGATGCCTCTAGAGATCTAACCTGAGGCTGACGAGTC